GAGAAGCCATCCTGGAGCTGGTTTTAAAGGTAATTAGAGTGTTGCCTCTTTAATTTAAAACTCCCTAGCATTTTGCTCAGAGTTCGAACCTTCTTTAATGAAGCCAGTGCTAGTTGCTGGCTAGATTATACGTTTACTTTCATTTATGCTCAAATTTTTATTAAGAGCTTTATAGGCAAAATCTGAAAAAGCATAATATGTTTCACATGTATTAGAAAGAAATACCATTTTATCTTAAAATTTATATGTGAATAGGTCATATACATAAATATCACCGACTTATTACTACATGACAATAAACTTTTAGTTTCCGTGCCATACTTGATGGTTAAAGGAAAACCCTGAGACAAGTTAAATTTTGCAGAGTTCATTTAAGCAAGAAAATGGTCGAGTGGCCGGATGGTGTACACCTGTAATCCCAGTAGCGCAGGAGGCATATATATATATATATACATATGTGTGTATTTGTGTATATATATATGTATATATATATATATATATATATACATACATACACACAAAAAAACAATTTTATATATATATATAATATATATATATATATATATATATATATATATATATATATATATATATGAAGGAATACAGCTCAGCCTTTAAGAAGAATGAAATCATGACAATTGCTGGTAAATGGATGGAGTTTAACATGCTAAGTGATAATCCAATCCCAAAAAACCAAAGGTTACAAGTTTTCCCTGATATGCTTATGCTAGTCACAGGAAGGGGGCAGGGGCAGGTAGGGAAGAATATAGTTGCTTAGATTGCATTGAGGAGTGAAGAGAGAGGAAGGGGTATAGTGGGTAGAATGGATAGTAGAATGAATCAGACATTATCATCCAAAGTACATATACAAATACATGACTGGTGTAATGTGCTATTTCTTGCACAACCAGAAGCATGAGGGATCATCCTACATTTACGTATGATATGTCAAAATGCCTTCTATTGTCATGTAGAATTAGAACAAATTTTTTAAAAGTAGATTAAAAAACATATCAATTTGCAGAAAAAAATATGACTACAATATCTGCCCATAAATGGATCCACCTGGAGACAATCATGATAACTGAAGCTAAGCCAGTTTACAAAAAACAAAGGACAAATATTTTATCTGATATGTGGAAGCTAACCCACAACAGGAGGATGATGGAAACAGAAGTGCAGTAGATTAGACAATAGGGAATGAAGGGAAAGGAGGGGGCATAAACAAAAGAAAGACAGTGGAAAGACTCTGATGAAGCTTTCCCATGTATATATGTGTAAACAAAACAGTGAATCCCACCACCATGTACATCCTAAGAATGCAACTCTAAATAGATAAGGTCTAATTATACAAATATGGACTATATCAAAATGAATTTTATGGGCCAGGGTTGTGGCTCAGAGGCAGAGCACTTGCCTAGCATGTGTGAGGCACTGGGGTTAATTCTCAGTACCAAATATAAATAAAATAATATAAGGGTTCATTTACTACTTTAAAAATTTAAAAAAACATATTTTATAATTAAAAATGACCAATAAATAAAATTAATAAAATGAAACATTTCCTAGGTTCCTTTAAACATTTTGATAGCACTGAACTCAACTTCGAATGAATGGAAAGAAAAAGGGCTTTTAAGAGTGGGTTTAGTCTCTCCCACTTTTCTGCCAAATGATGACACAACTATTGGGACAGACTTTTCTGACTTCTAACCTCCAGAACTGTGGGAAATAATTTTCTATTCTCTATGAATCTCATAATTTTACTGATAGAAATTAAAATTTAAAAATTGCAATATTTATATATTTACATATAATATATAAACATATATATTTATATATATATTTATAAATATATAATATATGTTATAATATATAACGGACATGATATATAATAGATATATTTGTAAATATTATATATTTATATATCTATTACATATAATTTATTTAAATATGTATTTATATATCTTACATATAACAGTACCTTTGAAACCGGGGTTCGAAGATGAAAATCCATGGCTTCTGCTGGTAGGTAGGATCTGTGCGCACAGGGTGGGGAAGCCTCTGCAGCAGAGAGGAGTCCTAGCTCCTCATGGCGGGCCATTCCATCCAGTGCTGCAGCAGACCCCAGCAGATTCTCAACCATCTCTTCTTCTTTCGCAGTCTCTTGGAAGTGGAAGAATCATCTCCAGGAAACAAACCAGGCTGCAACTTCCGTGGAACTCGGGCGGAACTCAAGCAAATATCCAGCGCAACAATCTTCAAGGGCTGGGCAGCTTCTCTTCTCCAAAACAGCCTCCAAGGGTTTATATAGCACTTGGTCCAATGCTATTGGTCCAAACTTATGCTAATTAGGACTTGAAAGAAGAACCAATGCTATTGGCCCAAAGTTATGCTAATTGGGTAGGACACGGACGAATGCCATTGGTCAGTCTTTTGCGAAATCTTCATAGTAGATTCATTCATAAAAGCAGCCCCGAATTCCCACACTGGCAATGAATGAATGGGCTGGGAAGCAGCTTAATGGGAAAGTGGCAAAGCCCTTGCCTCCCATTCCCCAAGCTGTGCATTCGATCCCCGTTCTGAAAAGAAAAAGAAAACAAAATTACTGGTAAACTATTGCTGGCAAAAAGGAAATAAACAAACTTTATAAATACATAAATCCTTATTCATAAACATACCTGCTCTGCATTCTGCAGGATCTGTCAAGTGACCCCTTATCCTTTACCTCTTCAAAACAATTAAAATAAATAAAACAATTAAAATAAATCAAAATAAAGGTCCAGAGACACCTGCCCAAGCTTAGGCCCTTCGCAGATGCACTGGAGCCAGGGCTCACTGCAGCCCAGTTTCATCCCACCAACAGCAAGATTCTCAGGCCCAGCCCAAGAATGCTTCCACTCACTTGCAGACACCTGCCAGAGCTCATATACAGTCCAGATCTTCCCCCACCGACCTGCTCGGGAGGCCAGACACAGGGTAGGCCCATGTCCACCCCTCAACTGGGAGACCTGCACTGAGCTCTGGTCCGGCCCAGGACCACCTGTGCACACCAGCAGACACCCACTGGAGCTCAGGCTCTGCCCAGATCAGCCTCGTGAACCTGCATGGAGCCCGGGAAACGGTAGGTCCAGGTCCATGCCAATGCTGGCCAACCCTCACCAGAGCTGAGACTCGGACCAGGCCTGCCTCTGCCCACCGGCAGACCACTTCAGGAGCTCTGATCCAGTCCAGAGCCACCCTAAGGACCTGAGCCGGAGAAGGGGCCCAGGGTAGCCCGAGTCCATCCACTCACCCTGAGACTGTCCCCAGAGCTCAGGTTCTGCCCAGGACTGACTCCACCCTCCAGCAGCACCCTCCAGAGCTCAGGTTTGGACCAGGACAGACTGCCTACCAACAGACACTCCCTGGTGGCCAATCCCGGTCCACTTCAGCCTCAATGACCTGAGTGGCAGCTGAATCCCAGAGTAGGCCCTGCTGCTTCCCGCCACCAGCTGACCCCTGCTCTATCTCAGCATTCAACCAGAGAAGCCTTGCAGATGTGCACAGGAGCCTGGGCACAGGGTAGCCCTGGGAACATATGGCCACCACCAGACCCCCACCTGAGTTCAGGCTGAGCCAAGGACCAACTCGGCCCACAATCAGACCCCTGCCAGAGCTCATACATGGTCCAAATTGGCCTCACTGACCTGCACTGGAACCCGGGCAAGGGGAGGTCCAGATCCATCCTGCCACCTGCAGAACACCACCAGAGCTCCAGCTCTTCCCACGTCCAACTCAAAGACCTGGCAGGAGACAAAGCTCAAGTCCAGGATAGCCCAAGTCCATTCAGTCACCAGGAGACTGCCACCAGAGCTAAGGCTCCACCCACGACTGACTCTGCCCACCGGTAGACAGTCCCTGAAGTTCAGTCCCAGCCCAGATAATCCTTGCTGACAGGCATGGGAGCCTGGCCCAAGGTAGGACTGGGACCAACTGCCACAAGCACCACCTCCACCCACAGGCAGAACCCGGCTCAAGCTCATATGAGGCCCAGAACCATTGTGTTGACCAGCTCAGGAGCTCTGGAAAAGTAGGCGTTGTTCCATCCAGCCACCCAGTAGATCTCAGGCTCTGACCAGATAAGCCTTGCAGATGTGCACAGGAGCCTGAGCACAGGGTAGCCCTGGAAACATATGGCCACCACCAGACCTCCACCCGAGCTCAGGCTTGAACCACGACTGACTTCACCAACAGGCAAAACACCCTTCAGAGCTCAGAGCTCAGTCCAGCCCAGGTCCACCTCGAACACCTGCACCAGAGCCCAGGCAAGGACAGGCATATTCCATTCCTCCACTGGCCGACCCCTGCTGGAGCTCAGGCTCAGCCAGGACTGCCTCCACCCACAGGCAGACCCCTGCAGGAGCTCATAAATGGCCCAGATCGCCCTGCTGACCTGCACAAGAGCCCGGGCAAGGGGAGGCCAAGCTGCATCAGCCACTTGCAGACCCCGACCAGAGATCCAACTCGACGACTTGGCAGGAGACAGAGCCAGACCCAGGGTAGCCAAATCCATCCAGGCACCAGGAGACTGGCACCCAAGCTCAGGCTCCGCCCACGACTGACTCCGCCCACTGTCAGACAGTCACCAAAGTTCAGCCCCAACCAAGATCAGTCTCGGTGACAGGCTCAACAGCCTGCCCCAAGGTAGGCCTGGGACCAACTGCCACAAGCAGGCCCCAAGCAGAGTTCATGCCAGACACAGGACCGCCTCTGCCCACAGGTAGATCCCTGCTGGAGCTCATCCATGGCCTCGCAGACCTGCAGGGGAGCCCGGGCAAGGGGAGGCCTGGTTCCCTCCCGCCACCTGCAGAACCCCACCAGAGCTGCAGCTCTGCCCAGATCCAACTCATATACCTGGCAGGAGACACAGCCTGAGCCCAGGATAGCCCAAGTCCATCCAGTCACCAGGAGCTCAGGCTCCGCCCACAACGGACTCCGCCCATTGAAAAACCGTTGCATATTATCACCTGTCTGCTCTTAGAATTCAAAGAGCATATAAAGTTCACATGTCTATGAAGAATGCTAACAAACGGGTTAATTCAGCCATTTGTATTCAGGTCAGTTTGTCTTTTACAGAAAAACTATGAGATGTAACTTTCCTCTTAGAAATTTTTGACATATATTGAACAATTCTCAGATTCCTTATGGTAAGATCATATAATATGTAACACTTTCAGCATATAGCTATTAGGATGACTGGAAGTTTGGAAATCTTCTTTTAGGAACAGCAATAAAGCTGTGAATTACTCTCTGATGTAATTTTACTCATTTATTATACTCCCACTAGTAAAGTTGGAGGGTACCTGTTCCTCTAAATCCTTCACAACAGTGGCATCAGAAGACACCCTGATTTTTGCCATTCCAGTGAATTGGAAATGGTATCTCATTTTGTTTTTCATTTACTTGATTGCCAGCAATTCTGAAATTTTTACATTTATTATTCAAGTTCTTATCTGTGTATCATGTGCTCTTTCTAATCTTTCTTTTTATGCACTTTGTCCCTTTTTCTACTTGATGTTCTTTTTTATTATGATTTATAGGAATTCTATATTCTGGATAAAGTTCTAATTTGTGTAATTAACATGCATGTACCAATAAAATATTTAGTGAAAAAATAATTTTCAGAATGTTATATAGTTTGATAGAATTTATATAAATTGTAAAATAAAGGTATTACTTTGCAGGATTAAATACATACGTCCACATATACACACATCCAGTGTGGACTGGACGAGTCTCTACGAAGTAGAAGGGGGAAATGATACTGGAGGTTTGACCTTCTATTTCTTTCTCCTTTAGAGTTTAGCATTGACAGCCAGTTTGGCTTCCCCCTTCACTTCATAGCATCTTCATATTTTCTGCTTTTAGAATTCAAGGAGCATGTAAACTTCACATGGCTATGAAGAATGCTAACATATATAAAATATGTATATAAATGTATGTATGTTTTTGTCTACTTTTAAAAATGTGTGTATTAAAAGTGAAAAAATCTTCATATTTTAAACAGAGATGGTTTCGAGCAAAATTAGAACGAAAGAGATTTATTGAGAAATATTATAGCATCATAAAAATTGAGCATGAAGTTCAAGAATGTATGAACCAGAAAAGTAGGGCTGCATCAGTAATACAGAAAGCAGTACGTCACTTTCTCCTTCGCAAAAGACAGGAAAAATTTAATAGTAGAATCACTAAACTTCAGGTAAGTGAAAACTCTATGGTTTTTGATACAGGAATAAAAACAAAATTGAGGTTTTAGTTGAAATGTATCTGTTCATATCATATAAATTTACTGAAAATATTTATTTTGTAGAAATAAATGTATATATAAATTCAAAACAATACGGGCTGTAATCTTAAAATTATTCTTTTATCTCTTTAAGGCATTATGGAGAGGCTACTCTTGGAGGAAGAAACATGATTGTACAAAAATTAAAGCTATACGGTTAAGTCTTCAGATGGTTAATAGGGAGATTAGAGAAGAAGATAAACTCTACAAAAGAACCACACTTGCACTTCATTATCTTTTAACGTATAAGCACCTTTCTGCCATTCTTGAGGCCCTAAAACACCTCGGTTAGTTTGTTATAACAATATCTTGCATGAGATTAGGAATGCATTTTTTATCTTTGAATATTTAAAGAACATTGTGATTACACAGTATTAACTAAGACTTCATTTTTTCTTGGAGCATTGTAGTGGGGTTCATTTTTACATAAATGCATATAACTTTGTATGCTCCATTTCTTTTGGGGGGGGTGCAGAGGGGTACCAGGGATTGAACCCAGGGGTGTGCAACCACTGAGCCACATCCCCAGTCTGTTTTTTATTTTTATTTTTTCACTTAGAGACAGGATCTTGCTAAGTTGCATAGGGCTTGGCTAAGTTACTGAGGCTGGCTTTGAACTTGGGAATCATCCTGCTTCCACCTCTAAAGCCTCTGAGATTACGGGCATGTGCCACCACACCCGGCCAGTTTGCTCCATTTCAATCCTTTGTACTTCTTCTTCTCCCAGTCCCTCCCCTGTCCTCTTTCTGTATTCAATTGGTCTTCTTTCTGTTTATTTATTTTTCTACTTAGTACATTATAGTTATATATAAAATTGGAATGCATTGTTGTTACTGGAAATTAACATGTGTCTTTTTCTCTTTCAGAGGTTGTTACCAGATTATCTCCACGTTGTTGTGAGAACATGGCTCAGAGTGGAGCAATTTCTAAAATATTTGTTTTAATCCGAAGTTGTAATCGTAGTGTTCCTTGTATGGAGGTCATCAGATATGCTGTACAAGTTTTGCTTAATGTAGCTAAGGTAGTTTTCCATTTTAATAATGAAATATTCATTATTCAAGAAATGTAACTCTGCAGATTAATAGATAGAATTGATAGAATTTATATAAATTGTAAAATAAATGTATTACTCTGCAGGATTAAATACATACGTCCACATATACACACATCCAGTGTGGACTGGACGAGTCTCTACAAAGTAGAGTAGAAATGCTCTAAATTAGAAATTAGGCTGGGAATGGTGCTGCATGCCTAATCCCAATAGCTCAGGAAGGAGTCAGAAGGATTGCAGGTTCTAAGCCAGCCTCAGCAGCTTAGACTATAAGCAACCTAGTGAGACACTGTCTCAAAATACATATTAAAAAAAAAAAAAGCTGGGGATTTGGCTCAGTGGTTAAGCACTACCCTTGGTCTCAATCCATGGCACCAAAAAAGGAAAAAAAAAACAAAGTTTGAAATTAGGCCTCTAAATTAAAATTCATGTATATGAAGAGTCTTGATGGGGAAAAATATTTCATTTATGAATATAACTATAGATATGAATGCTATTTTGTTGTTTTATTTCTATTTTATAATATGAATAATAGTATTATTGAGAACTTGCCAGTATTTTTGTACATTATTTAATTTAATCCTTATAATAATCCTGTAAAGTAACTCATATATTTCTCATTTTATAGAAAAGGAATGATAATGCTTACAGAAGTTGCATACAAGCAGTGGTATTAAGATGAGACATTTACCTTCCTTGCCCACCCTCGAAACCACGACTGTAGTGTACCCAATATATTGAGGAATAGTGGTTAAGAACATAGACCCAAACTACTGAATTTGAATCCCAGTTCTGCAAGCTGTTATAGATTATTTGGCCTCTCTTTGCTTTACTTTCTTCAACAGTAAAATGGGTATAGAAAAAAATAATACTCATCTCAAAATGTTACTGTGAAGATTAAATGAGTTAATATACTTAAAAGTTCTTGATACATAAACATACCATGCAAGTGTTAGCTATTAATGGTTTCTTATTTTTATGTTAGAATGATTATTTTTTGAAACCATGCAAATTTCAGTATGAATGTAATAGTATCATTAAATAAAGCATGAAAAAGTAATCCTAGATTTATTAGTATCAAATTTGTTTTATTCTAAAGTACATCTTCCTCTCAAGAAGGATGTAAAATAGTGTAGTTAGATCTTGCCTTACTCATTATCTTACCCTATGACTAACTGTAACAGATAAGTTCTCTTTCATGAGAGAGTCTTGCTAAAATGGTCTTCTCTTTAGAAGCTTGCTTTTATTTACTTCAAGATATTCTTTTTTAGAGATTTTAGCTTTAATTTGTTTTATGTGGAACTTTTGAAGTGGTTAGGAAAATAAAAGATTAATATGCATATAAGATTCAAATATGATAGGAGTAACAAAAAATTATCTCATGAAGTCCTTTGTACCTGTGGCAGATACTTCAAAGATTTGGCTCTAAGCTGTCTTTACGGTTGGGCAGTTTTAAAGGTGTATGCTTATTAAAACTTTTAATTTCATTCTGTTCTCTTCAAGTATGAGAAAACTACTTCAGCAGTTTATGATGTAGAAAACTGTATACACACATTGTTGGAGCTTTTGCAGATGTACCGAGAAAAGCCTGGTGACAAAGTTGCAGACAAGGGTGGAAGCATTTTCACAAAAACTTGTTGTTTGTTGGCTGTTTTGTTGAAGACAACAAACAGAGCCTCTGTAAGTATTGATCAGTTACTTTTCTTTGAGCTTATTTTCTATGTTCTTTTATGTATAGATTTTATGTTTTTCCTTTAGTAACCATTACACTAAAATAGGATTTTGCATGTGATCAAACTTGGGTGTTTTTTTTTTGTTGTTGTTGTTTTGTTTTGTTTTTGCCTAGTATCAGTGTGTGTGTGTGTGTTTGTATATTCATTGTTTCATTTTGATATTAAAGAAACTGAATTCTGAAAATAGAATTTATTTCAGTCATGTAAATAAGAATTTCCTACTTACTAGAGAGTATAACAAATTACCTTAGCAGGGTAGGAAATAAGATACGTATAATTCTCTATCCACCTATCATAACCATAAATATGTCTCAAGCTTTTCTGTGCCGAGACATCTGAGTTATTCTCTCCAGGTATCACAATTAACATAAGAGTAACCAGAGCCCTGCCTTTATCCTGATAACTGTAGAAACCACTGAAGCATTTTAAGCAAGAGAATAATATTTTCCTATTTAAGTTTTAGCATCACCCTGGCTACTGACTGAAGAATAAATTTGGGAGAGCATGTATAGATATGGGGAGACCATTAAAGGAGGCAAATGTAGATATGTAGTGGCTAGACAAGAGATTGTGCTTCACATAGGGTTGTATCAATGAGAGGTAAGTGGATGATTCTAGAAAGTTGGAAGAGGTAAAATTCATAGGACTTAGTAACTAGATATGACAGGTTATATTGAGTATAGTTCCTTTTTGCATTCAGTATCGAGTTAAATGTACAATTTTTGAATATTTCTCCTCTTTATAATTGTCTTACATATTATTTCACAATTTAAAATAATTTGCCTACTATACTTAGAGAGCCGTGCTCTTGATTGTTAAAAGCTCGAAAGCCTACTGCATAGTATTCAAATGATTGATTTTGTTATTCTAGGAGAGATTGAATTCTTATTAGGTTTTAGTAAATGTACACTTTCTTTTTTAGGATGTACGAAGTAGTCCCAAAGTTGTTGACCGCATTTATAGCATCTACAAACTTACAGCTCGTAAACATAAAATAAATGCTGAAAGAATACTTAATAATCAAAAGAAGAATTCTTCCATAGGCATTCCCTTTATTCCAGAAACACCAATAAGGACCAGAATAGTTTCAAGGTAAGCAGTTAATTGTATTCTGTAATTTCATGTCACCATTCATTCATTTAAATAAATATTTGTTAACACTATCATAAGCAAGATATTGTTCTTAACCATAGAGAAACAACATATGAATAAGAATAGATTATTCCAAAAAAAAAAGAAAAAGAATAGACTATTCAGTAAATCTAAAGGAATCGATTTCACTAAATAATGAAATAATACTGATGTAGCTTTGGGTATTTAGTAGCTAGTCAACAAATTCCTTATGTTAAATAGTTCAGACCTAATGCTAAGAACCTTGTTATATCAGTTTTATTTTCCATGTTAATCTCTATTTTTATGTGGTGCTGAGGATCGAACCCAGGGCCTCGTACGTGCTAAGCGAGCGCTCTACCGCTGAGCCACAACCCCAGCCCAATCCAGGATGATTTTATATCAAGATCTTTTACTTAAGTATATCTGCAAAAAAAGAAAAAAAAACCAAAAACCTGTTTTCTTTTTTTCTAAATAATGTAACATCACAGATTCTGTGACTAGACATAGATATATGTTTCAGGGTCACCATTTAGCCTGTTATAGACCCATAAAGATAATTGTGGTTTACCTAGTTTATGTTACTTTTTTTTTTTTTTTAAGGTGTGTTTGTTTATGTGGTTACTCCCCATGATCAGGGAGTAGAAATCATATAGAGCTGCATCTTGAACTACAAAGTGCTTAAATTTGGTTGTGCAGCGTAAAGCTATGTGGTTCAGGAAGAATGACAATGAGCAAACAGATTAATGAGTAAAATAATAAAGATAGTGACAACTACTAAGATAAAGAGAATGGCCGAGAAAGCATCATGTGATTTTTAAGTCCTGGAGGGTGAGTTGAGGAGAGGATAGCACAGAGTGGGCAGGAGTGTTGCATCATGGCATGGCTTTTGTTTTGAATAAGCTTGAGAAACCTACAGCATAAATAAGAGGAAAATATAAATAAGCCATTGGAAAATCATGCCTATGGTTGAACAGAAGAACAAATTTTTAGATAAAAATTGGAGTACTGTTGGTTTGAGGATGTAGATAGCACTTAAGGCCAAAAGATGAATGAATGTGATCATGGATTGAAATTTCACTCCTTTCTATCATTCCTTTCCATCGTATGGACACATACCGCATTTTGACCACTAACCAATGGTGAGGCATTTAGATTTTTAACAAGAAGGAATAAGAAGATGGAAGTGTATATAGTAGGGATTTGTGTGAGAAGATACATGAGCTCTCCCCTGATTGATACCGTTTTCTCAATGTGGTGTGATATTTTAAACTCAACAACTCAGAAGTAGCTTAGAGGGTATGGAAGGGATATTTGAAAAGAGGAAAGAAATAAAATAGTCATCTGGGAGAGCAGAAGCATACTAGGCAATTCAAATGCCCATTTGACATAAAATAAAAATGTATAGTTTCTTTAGCAATATCTGTATAGGAATGGAGAAAGAAGATATTTCTATTTAATTTGGAACCCAAATAGAATTTTCTAGACAAGTTTGATAGGAGAAAGAAACAGAATGGAATAATATTGAGATAACTAAACTAGTTAGGGAGGAACGTGAGAATAACATTCTAATGAACAATAGGTATGTGTTGAGGTCAAGTGAACTAGAGATCTCAGCAGGGTGGAGGAATTGGTTCAGTGACTGTATTAAAGCAGATAACATGGATAAATCAGAAGTGGTGATAAAGTCTAGAATGTAAACTATGTGAGAAAGGATTGGTTAAGAAAGAATGGAAGGAAAGGGTTGCAAAAACTGAGAATGCTGTTGGTTTTTTAGCCATATGGATGTTGATATTAATGAGAATGGTAGCAGGAGTTGGGGGAAGTCCAAGAGCAGGTTCGTAATTAGGAGATGGTCAATGAGCAAAAGATGGTAGCAAAATAAGTAGTATAAGCTTCAAAGAAGCCAGTATCATAAGGAAATATTCTAGAACTGATAATTGGCAATAATATGAAGTTCTTCCACCTCTTTGAAAAGGTTGTAAGAGAAATGATGTGTCATGAATTAGTTATCACATTAGTTAACACATAAAGATAAAAATTAACTCTTTTAAGAAATTAACTCTTTTAAGAAATGTACTGTTTTAATGCCATATTTTTATTTTTATTTTTTAAAACAGACTTAAACCGGATTGGGTTTTAAGAAGAGATAGTATAGAAGAGATCACCAATTCTCTGCAAGCTATTCAAATGGTGATGGATACACTTGGCATTCCTTATCAGTAAATATAAACATTTTCAGTGTGTACAGTATAAAGAAATATTAAAGCTAATCATGAATATGTAAATTGCTTTTTGCTTTCTATGTACAACTTCTAAAATCTGACTTTGTATTAAAAATAAATATGTATATTACAAATAACTAAGCTGTTTATTAAATTCTTCATTGTTTTTTATTTAATATAGCTGTATGCATATAACAAATAAATATGTCATAAGATGATTATAATACTGTTACTCATGTTTATTAAAGTGTTATATTAGTTTGAATGTAGTCATATTCCTAAAAGGAAAGGAATCAATTATTACCTGTTTTATTGATAAGCAAAAGCATTTTGCTAAAACACATGTTGAAAGTCAAAGATTCTGTCTATTCACTTAGAAAATGAGAAGAGCATAAAATATTCCCACACATGTGTGTGTATGGATAATGTACTAATTTGTATCCTTCACTGGCTAAAGCATCCAGAGAGGTAAATGAGCTTCTCTAGGGAAATTATAAGAATATAACCAGTCAGTATATATACTAAAACCCCTTAACTTTGAACTGATTTTTAGTGGGAAGAGAATAGTATTGCTTTAAAAGAAACTTGTTGTTCATTTACATACTACAAATTGGAAAGTTATTAAGTTTGAAAGTTACTTGTTTTGTAAACTTTAGGTTATTGACATCTGTATCTATGTGGCTCCAGGGCCCAGAAGTCTGATAGGACCCCAAAGTTTTCCATGCATGGACACTATAAAAATTTTAGCTGTTTGAAATAGTAAGTAAATCCTAACTAGCCTAAAATTGTCTGCCTATGTTATAGTTTGCATCTCAGGTGTCCTCCAAAAGCTCTTGTGTTGATGCTGTAATGTTCAGAGGTGAAATGATTAGACTATGAGAGCTAATCAGTGCATCCTAGTTTGAATGGACTCACTTGGTGGTAACTGTAGGCAGTTGAGGCAGGCCTGAAGGAAGTGAGTCACTGGGGATATGCCCTGGAAGGGTTCATCTTCCCTGAAACCCCTTCTCTCTCTCTGCTTTCTGGATGCCATGAATGGAGCAGTGCTTCTCTACCACACCATTCTGCCATGATCTTTGTCCTCACCTTGGGCCCAGAGCAATGGAATTGGCTGTTTTTAGACTAAGACCTCTGAAACCATGAGAGCCAAATAAACCTTTCCTCTTCTAAGTTGTTCTTGTTGGATATTTTGGTCACAGTGATCCAAAGCTAACACAACTTATAATTTGGTTAAGATAGATCTAAACATATTGATGTGTTCAAAAGTATATTCAAATATGATGGAGATTTTTGTTTCCCACTCTTTTTTTCCCTCAATGAAGTGTCAGTACTAAGTGTTTTTCAAACATTGTAATTTTTATTGACTTTCTCATTGTTTTGTTTTCCTTCATTCAACAGAGCTTTACTATATATAATCTATTTACTTTACTTTAGTAAATTATATATACTTCTAGGATTTAATTGGCCAGCATATAAACATTAATGGTGCTAATTTCTTATAAATATAACCAACTAGTAATTGCACAATAAATATTATGCATGCAAGAAAATGACTTCCTGATGTTTAAATCGTTTTTTTTTTTTTTTTGTTTTCCTTGTTGAATATTACACAAAACCAAAAATCTTTTGAAGGACATTTAACAGTATTACTGAGCCAGGGAGCAGTAAGCAGTAACGTTAGTCCTACCAGGACTTCCCCTTTGCCCATTCCCAGGGAGAGGTGTTAGATTTAACAAGTAAGGAATTACAGAGCTGTTCCTGCACAACCCTGTTTTACTACGTGGGGTGAAGTTGCAGCCTACTCTGCAATTTCCTTTATGGTTTATACACTGTCAAATTTAATGATAAGGATATTGTGTCTTGTGCATTACACAGAAGTACAATTCCCATCTTAGAACAGCTAGATAGGGTGAGATTTAAAAAAAAAAAATTGTTGGTTCCATACTTTAGGTATTGTGAATTGAACTGCTATAAACATTGATGGGGCTATATCACTGAATTATGTTGATTTTCAGTTCTTTGGGTATAAACGAAGGAGTGCGACAGCTGGGTCAAATGGTAGTTCCATTCCAAGTTTTCTGAGGAATCTCCACGCTACTTTCCAAAGTGGTTACACCAATTTTCAGTCCCACCAGCAATGTATGAGTGTACCTTTTCCCCCACATCTTTAATAACACACTTATTGCCATTTGACTAGAATGAGATGAAATCTTAGAGTAGTTTTGATTTGCATTTCTCCAATTGCTAGAGATGCTGAACATTTTTTCATATATTTGTTGATCGATTGTATTTCTTCTGTGAAGTGCCTGTTCTGTTCCTTTGCCCATTTATTGATTGGGTTGTTTGTTTCTTTGAGTTCTTTATATATCAAAAGATGAGTGGACAAAGAAAATATGGTGTATATACACAATGGAACATTACTCAGCCTTAAAGAAGAATGAAATTATGGCATTTTCAGGTAAATGGATGGAGCTGGAGAATATCATGCTAAGCGAAGTAAGCCAAACCCAAAAAAGCAAAGGCCGAATGTTTTCTCTGATAAGTGGATACTGATCCATAATGTGGCGGGTGTGGTAGGGAAGAATGGAGTAACTTTGGCTTGGGCAGAAGGCAGTGAGAGGAGGGGATAGGAAGGATAGTAGAATGAGTCAGACATTATTACCCTATGTCCATATATGATTATATAATCTGTATAATTACATCATATACAACCAAAAGAAAGGAGTTATATGCCATTTATGAATGCTGTGTCAAAATGCATTCTACTGTCATGTGTAACTAATTAGAACAAATTAAAAATAAATTGTTGTAAGGTGAAAAAATATAAAAAGCAGTGTAGTTGGGGCTGGGGTTGTAGCTCAGTTGTAGAGCACTTGCCTAGCACATGTGAGACACTGGGTTCAATCCTCAGCACCACATAAAAGTAAATAGAGTATACTTAAAAAAAAAAAAAAAAAGCAGTGTAGTTGCATCACCACCCTGTAATTGCGTTGCATTCCTCGTTTTCACTTACCAGTCCTACATGCCCTTCCAGTGGAGTCTCCTCATTCTATCTCATACTCAGGTGTGAACACTTCATTTAATTAACTTGGCCAGCTTCCCATTTTATCCATCTCTTTTATGTCCATTTCAATTTTCGGTAAGACTCCTTTAAATAATGCAATATGTTTTTTGCATATTTATTTACATCAACAGCATCCTGAAGAGCACTTTTGCTATGGTCACGCATAGTTTTAAACACTCGAAATGACTAGTGCTATTTCATTGTGGTTTTAATTTCTATTTCCCTAACAATAATGATATTGAGTATTTTTGGGGGGTTTTCATTTACATGTCTTTGGTGAAAGTGTCTATCAAGTCTTGCACATTGAAAAAATTAACTGTTCTAAGTTGTGAGAGATCTTTAAATCTTTTTGAACACAAGTCCTTTATAGGATATGAGAAGTACAGAAGTTTTTAATTTTTATGAAATCCAATTTGTCTTTTTTCATTTACTGATTATGCTTTCGGTGATATAAAATCTCTGCTTAACCCAAAGACATAAAGATTTTCTATTACATTTGCACTGTTTAATTCATTGATCCATTTCAAGTTAATTCATTTAAAAAGACTATTATTTCTCCATTGAAACATATATATATATATTTTATGATCTGGCTTCTTTGGTTTGCAAAATGTTCTTTGGACCACATGGCTATTGTTCCACATACATATGAAAAAAAATATCCTGCTGTTGTGTAGAGTGTTTGACAAACCCAATTCAGGCAAATTAGATGATAGTGCTCTTCAAGACTTCTGTCTACTTACTACCTGTCTTCTTTTACCAGTTATTGATAGAGGGTTGTAGTAATTGCAGATTTGTCTATGTTCCCTTGAATCAAAAACCAATTAACTGAATGTATTTTGGAGCTCTCTTATTCTGTAGTCTTCAAGGTTGTTATGTTGTCTTAATACGTCTACTAATCTAATTATGGAATGATCTAGTTTCTTAGTAACTTTTTTCGTTGTAAAATTTTGCGTGATATTTATATAGCAACTCCAGTTCCTGCTCCCTTTTTCTCTCTGTCTCTGGCCACCCCCCCCCCCCGTTCCTATGTTTAAAATGTTTTAATTGTGGTAAAACACATGTAACATTTTAACCATTTTTAAGTGTGTGCAGTTTATTGGTATGACATGCATTCACATTTTGGGTATTCTAATTCTGGTTTGCATAAGCATGTATATTAATTTCTGAGGGCTACTATTACAAATGATCACAAATTTATTGGCCTAAAACAGCAGAAACTTATTCTGTTTGGGAGATCATTGGTCTGAAATGAAGATGTTGGCAGGGCTGCAGCCCTCAGGATCCAGGAGCGACTGTCCCTTGCCTCTTCAAACTTTGTTGACTCCTGGTATATTTCTGGGCTTCTGGCTACATCACTACAGTTTCTGTCTATAGTCATATTGCCTCTTTCTCTTTTCTTTATTTAATATCCTTCTGCCGTACTTTTCAAACATATGTCATTGAGTTTTGGGTACACAATGGTAATCCAAGGTATTTTCATCTCAAGATTCTCAACTTACTTATATCTACAAAGACCCTTTCTCCAAATAAGATGACATTCAAAGGTTCTAGGATTTGAACATTGAAATCTCTTTTGGAGGTCCCCACCCAATCTACTATAATATAGTATACCCATCTACATTTTACTTTTAACCTATCTGTGTTTAAGAGGTGTCTTGCAGAAGATATATGATTTGGACTTTATTGTTTAATCTACTCTAACAATTGTCCATTTAATTGGAGCATTTAGACTTATTATAGTTATTATTAAAGATTTTCCAATTTAGGGCTGGGGCTATAGCTCAGTTGGTAGAGTGCTTGCCTTTCATGCACAATGCCCTGAGTTCAATCCCCAGCACCACACGCACACAAAGAAAGATTTTCCAATTTATTAAATTTATTCCTCCCCTGCCTTTGGATTGTTATCAATAGTTTACTTCTGGTGTATTAAATAAATTATCATTTCATCATTTTTACTTTAAATAATCATTAATTTTAAAGAGACTTAAATTTTAAA